ATGTTCTTTGCGACACAGATGCCATCTTGTGGTCAGGACATTGAATGACAAGACATTTGCTACAAATAAACACATCAAGTGAAATCTGTCACTTTATTTTAGTTGGTGCATCATGGGAAATTTCAATTTCTCAGATGCTGAGAGTCAAATTAAATAAATAAAGCCTACCGAAAATAGCAAAAACAATAATGTATAATTGTTTTTTGTGACTGTAAATCTAAAGAATCTTCCTCAGAATTGGGTGAATGTCCAGTAAAATGTATGGAGTTATCCTGATTTGTAAAATAAGCCCTAATGTAAGCATCTGTAGGCCTAAAAACTCAACAACAACAAAAAAAAATGGGCTTCTCTAAGGGTTATTCAACAGGGACAGCTTTCTATACAGATTAATTAATTGGTTTTACGTTGAAATATTTTCATAATTTTTTTAAACAAAATTATTCCAAAGGTGAAAATATTCTAACCATAAATGGTTACACTAGAAACAAGCCAGAAACTTTTTACAAATATATGGATAAAACTTTGCTTGAAATGGAAAGGTTATCTTGAAAAAACATACAACTTCCAGTAGGCCTACATAAATTCTGTGTTATGTGGGGAATTTAGGTAGGTCTATATCAGGGATGTGCAACATTGATGAGGGGTGGGGGCCACAAATAAATGGGAACTCATCATGAGGGTACACAGTGCCCGACTCAGCTGTTCATACCTTACCCTATTCCTTTGTTACATGGGCTACCAAAACGCCACAGGCGTAGACACGGGAGACGAGCTGGAGTCCTGGTGAAATTGAGGTGAAGAGAAAACCGAACGGCACTCCCCCCTGTTCTGTTGGCAAATGTCCAGTCACTCGAGAATAAGATGGATGAGCTTCGTTTGAGAGTCTCCTATCAGAGAGACTTGAAAAGCTGCAATATTATATGTCTTACTGAAATGTGGCTCGATGATGACGCTATGCACGTAGCACTCCATGCAGCGGCAGGATCGGACGGAGGCTCTGGGCAAATCGAAAGGAAGTGGAGTGTGTTTTTCATGAATACAACTGGTGTGCTGCTTCCAGCGTGAAGGAAATCTTGAGCTTTTGCTCACCTAATATAGAATACCTCATGGTAAGCTGCAGACCCTTTTATCTACCAAGAGAGTTCTTATCTGTAATTATCACGGTTGTCTACATCCCTCCACAAGCCAACACCACTCTGGCACTCAACGAACTGTATGGGGCCATAAACAAACAAGACACCGCTCACCCAGTCGCAGCGTTTCTGGTGGGCGGAAACTTTAACGCGGGGAGACAAGACCGTCCTACCTCACTTCTACCAACACGTCCCCTGCACCACTAGGGGTCACTAAAACTCGAGACCACTTTTATTCTACCCACAGAAACGCATACAAGGCCCTCCCTCGTCCTCCCTTTGGCAAATCTGACCATGACTCCATTCTCCTGCTTCCTGTTTACAAACAAAAGCTCAAACAGGAAGTACCAGTGATGCCCTCAATATGGAAGTGGTCGGATGAAGCAGACACAAGACTGTTTTGCTAGTACAGACAGGGATATGTTCCGGGATCCATCCGATAGCATTGAAGAGTTTACCACAACATTCACAAGCTCCATCAATAAGTGCATAGATGATGTCATCCCCACAGTGACTATATGAATGTATCCAAACCAAAAACCATAGATTACAGGCAATATCGGTGCTGGGCTAAAGGCTAGAGCTACCGCTTACAAAGAACGGGACAAGGCATTGGATGCATACAAGAAAGTCTGCTACAACCTCCAACGAGACATCAAACATGCAAAAGGAGAATATAGGAGGAAGGTGGAATCCTATTACACCGGCTCCGACACTCATCGTATGTGGCAGCGCTTGCAGAGGATACCGGATTACAAAGGGAAACCCAGTCGTGAGTTTCCCAGCGATGCATAACTCCCAAACGAGCTAAATGCCTTTTATACTGGCTTCGAGGAATATAACACTGTGCCATGAGTGAAAGAACCTGTTTACTGGATGACTGTGTGATCTCGCTCTCCGTTGCAGATGTGAGCAAAACATTTAAACAGGTTAACAATCACAAGGCCGCCAGGCCAGACGGAATACCAGGGCGTGTTCTCAAAGCATGCGCAGACCAGCTGGCAAGAGTATTCACAGACATACTGTATCTCCTTGTCCCAGTCTGTAATCCCAACGTTTCAAATTGACCACCATTGTCCCTGTTCCCAAGAGCTGCAAGATAACCTGCCTAAATGACTATCGCCCTGTAGCACTCACATCTGTAATTATGGAGTGCTTTGAAACGCTGGTCACAACACACCCCTGCCACACTGCCCCTCAACACGGAGGCCCCTAAGGGGTGTATGCTTAGGCCCCTCCTGTACTCCCTGTTCACCCACTACTGCTTGGCAACACATGACTCCAACACCTTCATTAAGTTTGCTGACGACACGACGGTGGTACTGGTACTTCCTGTATATAGCTCCATTCTTGTGTATTTTATTTTATTCTTTGTGTTACTATTTTATTTTTAAACTCTGCATCGTTGGGAAGGGCTTTTAAGCTAGCATTTCACGGTAAAGTCTACACCAGTTGCATTCAGCGCATGTGACAAATAACATTTGATTTGATTTTGACATACCATACAAAACATTCCGGACTTACATCTACCCCTGAGTCCAGGTTGACTTTATATGTCCAAACTCAGAATCAAATATGCTTCACAAAAATAACATGGTTGCTGTGGTAGAACGTTTATTTTGATTGGCGAATTTTCTGCATTTAGCAAAGTCCTATTATGTAACCTGATTACAGATGTGTCTTTGTAAATGTGAACACGAATAATAGGGAAATCGTTATTCATGCTAGCATGTAAACGTTTAAATCGAACTATTATATTAATCTGAATATTCGTGCGTGTAACTGTAGTGACTGACATAACATGAGTAAAACTGCTGATATACAACCACATTTCTAAATTGCACCTTGTGAATTATACTATTGTAACTCTCGACAGTAAGTTGAGACAACGACTGAGTTCCTAAAAAATAATAATAGTTTTTTAAAATTCATCCGCGGCCCTACAAAACCCCATCCCTGGTCTAAGTCAATATAGCTACTTTCCTAATTATGAGACAATCTCCGTTTATCTATTGTAACAATTATTCAAATGTATTAAATGTCTGTTTTTCATAATATATTGTTTACCTGCATCATATAGTTCCTCCATGCCGTTGAGGGGCGCATGTTCGTCATAAATAAATGCCATCGATAAACCCAGCCGCTCAGCCATGTTGAAGAAGTCGCTCGGCGCGGAGAGAGCAATAGGACTGCATCCCGCCATTGTGTGGATTCTAAGCTCTGTAGAGAGACAGGGGCACTTGGCTAACTCTCAAATAGACATTTCCTACACCCTGCAGCTTAAATAAATAAAAATATTAAAATACAAAGGCGCCAGGGAGAAAGACATGTCAGCCAGCAGCCTTCTCGAACAGGTAAAGAGAGTCACTTTATGAATATCAATCGAGACGTAACTAGGATAGCTTGTTCCAGAGGCAGTGACTCTCTCTGTAGCTAGCTAACGTTAGTGCAGTAGGCCTGACCACCTGCTAAAGGACTGACTGGTGAATATACATTTCTTCATTTATTTTTCCCTTCCTCTTTTCTCATAAATCAAACCTTCATGAATCACCTGGACCCAATCCAGAGACCGAAAGGCCAAGGAAACAAAGGTAAGTTATCGTAACATGACAAGTTTACTGTGTCTGTATGCGGATATTTCCGTGTGGTGGTTTCGGAAACACTACTCTGCGGATGTGATGATAGTTAGCTAGCCAGATAGCAGGCCAGTCTCACCATTGTGCCCATTTCGCTTCTATAGTTGATTGGACATGTGAAACAATTTCCGATAAGTTGGTACTATTTACTCAATATTTTATTTTGTATGACTTTTAGTGTCATATGTGTGAATACACCATTGTGAATTTTGAGGCAATCCGTCAGCGTTGGCTAACGTTGGTTGCTAGCTTGGTAACTAATTTAGCTCGCGCTAGCTAGCTAACATGAGCGTCCTCTCCTACATTCGCAAGTTAGCTGACTAGGCATTTCCTAAGTCGGATGGCTAGTGGCTTACTGGCTCATTGGTTAAATGCTAGCAACGCTTTACAATGAGTAAGTTGACAAACTAATATGTTTACATCAAGTTAGGCTTAAACCTCCCACGCAAAATAATCATGTTTAGTTCGTTGGCTAACCTCAGTATTTAAAGGATACTCAAGAATTGCCTGCCAATGACACGTCTTCCAGCGTGCTGTTCTCACCGAACCAGTAGCAAGCTTCTGGTCAGTTATTGTCAAACCACGAAGTTGCAATGTTTCAGATCTTTTTCAATGTTTTGAGGCAACTTTGTTTACTAGCCAGGCCTGTTTTCCAGTTTGGCAATTCATTTTCAGATTCTGCTTAGTTATGGCAGGACGAACTGAAACACACTCTGACAAGTTTAACGTTATGTCATGACTACAATCACTGATATTAAATACAAATTGATTGTTTTCTCCTGAAGTTGTAACTAGAAACAATATTCTACTGCACCTCATATCACTGATTTCACTGCCCATTGGTGGTTGCAACCGATTTACTGTGAGTAACAGGCCGCTTCTGCATGTAGCAATTGTGCTGCAGTTACAATCTGTCAACAATAACGTATCTAGCGTTAACTGCAGCACCTGATACAACCCCTAGGGCCTAGTGTTATTTGTTTTATAGGTGGCACACTATAGACCTAGCCAGCAGGAAAGACAACTTGTCCAACTCAACCAGTCCCAAGCATTTGTTTGTCACCCATTTTAGTGCATTAAAACAGCATATTTGTGGCTGTGAACTGTAGTTGTGCAATGCTAGAGATCTCATCAAGCTTCATGACTTCCTGGCTCTTATTCTGTCATGACCGGCTGCAAATATGTAGGCCTATGACTAGTTGTATTGACTATTTCCACCTTATGCAAACAGATGTATCCTAGCACTGTATCTTACATTGCTATATACTCCTCTTTTCCAGTGCAAAACGGAGCTGTGACCCAAAAGGATACTTTGAATGATGATGAGTTTGAGCCTTACCTGAACACTCAGGCCAGACAGGTGAGTACCAGTCCACTACCCTCCGTTTGACTAGGCCCACACTGTACACTGTTCCTAACATTTGCCTGCTTAGACTCCCGAGTGGCGCAGCGGTCTAAGGCAACTGCATCTCCAAGGGCGTGAGGCGTCACTAAACAGACCCCCTGGTTTCGATTCAGGCTGTATCACAAATTGGCATTCAGATTCCCACTTGCGCAGCGGTTTAAGACTGCAATCAGTGCTGAGGGTCATTCAATAGAAATCCCTGGGATCGATTCCTAGGCTACATGACTCGGATGGTGGTAAACTACAGACCCTGGTACTTTGCATTCGTCATCCATAATGGGGAGATCTCGCTGTACAGCTTTACAGTGAATTACTTTTATACTGTTACAATTCATCATGTTTAGCGTGTAAATACTCTTCTCTCCCCAATTTTTACTATGTAGTCCATTTCCTTTTCTAGAATTCATTTGGAATTAAACTGGTCTTCATCTTGTCGTAATGTCTGTTGTGTGCCCTCAGTAGTGGGCCTAAATGGAAATAATGGAGCCTGTATTCCTCCAGTCAAAGGAATGCCACTGTTTTGTCCTCATAAAGCAGTTCATTGGTGTGAAAGTGGATACAGTCATCCTAGTCTAGGTGGCAGCCGAGGCCGATCGAGATCCAAGCGAGGATGTCCATCAGTTCGATGCCCTGCTTTCTGTAATGTAATGATTGAAACAGTCAACAGGCTAACCAGTGTTTTCTTCTCTCCGCAGAGCAATGCTTATACGGCCATGTCGGACTCCTACATGCCCAGTTACTACAGCCCATCCATAGGATTCTCTTACTCCCTGAACGAGGCAGCATGGTCCACCGGTGGCGATCCCCCCATGCCTTACCTGGCCTCGTATGGACAGCTGAGCAACGGGGAGCACCACTTCCTGCCCGACGCCATGTTCGGCCAGCCCGGCCCGCTGGGCAGCAACCACTTCTTGGGCCAGCACAGTTTCAACTTCTTCCCCAGCAACATAGACTTCTCTGCCTGGGGCAACAACAGCTCTCAGGGACAGTCTACACAGAGTTCTGGCTACAGCAGCAGCTATGCCTACGCGCCCAGCTCGCTAGGGGGCGCCATGATCGACGGACAGTCCCCCTTCACCCAGAACGAGCCCCTCAACAAGGCCCCTGGCATGAACAGCTTGGACCAGGGCATGGCTGGACTTAAGATTGGTGGCGGTGCTGGGGACATGGGGGCCCCCAAGGTGGTGGGCTCTGGCCTCCCCGGGGGACCCCTAGGCCACAGCCAGGTTTCTGGTGGAGCTCCCAGCATGCCACTGCCCCCCGTGTCCATCGCCCCCGCCAAGCCCGCCTCCTGGGCGGACATTGCCAGCAAGCCGGCCAAGCCGCAGCCCAAGCTGAAAACCAAGGGGGGCATAACTGGGACCAACCTGCCCCCTCCGCCCATCAAACACAACATGGACATTGGCACTTGGGACAACAAGGGGACCATGCCTAAAGCGTCCACCCCCCAGCAGGCGCCTCTCCCCAACAACGGGCAGCCGCCCAACCAGGCCTCCCCTCAGCCCGGCACCATGGCCGGAGGGACCCCGCAACTGCCCCTCAGCAACGGACAGTTGGTGGCCTCTTCGGCCCAGCTGGGGCAGCACCAATTTCCCTCCAACGGACAGCAGGGCATAGGGGGTCAGCTGCAGCTTTCCCAGGGCCCCCCGCCTGCCACCCAGCCCTCTCAGCCCACCCGCTGGGTCCCTCCACGGAACCGTGCCAACGGGTTTGGGGATGCCGGGGGTGGGGCGGGGCAGTCGCCTCCCAACTCGGGCTTGGGTGGGGTGCTGGTGCCCTCGGAGCCCCACCCAGTGCTGGAGAAGCTGCGCCTGGTCAACAACTACAACCCCAAGGACTTTGACTGGAACCTCAAGCAGGGGCGTGTGTTCATCATCAAGAGCTACTCAGAGGACGACATCCACCGCTCCATCAAGTACAACATCTGGTGCAGCACGGAGCACGGCAACAAGCGGCTGGACGCCGCCTACCGCTCGCTGGGCGCCAAGGGCCCCCTCTACCTGCTCTTCAGCGTCAACGGCAGCGGCCACTTTTGCGGCGTGGCGGAGATGCGCTCACCAGTGGACTACAATACCTGCGCCGGCGTGTGGTCGCAGGACAAGTGGAAGGGGCGCTTTGACGTGCGCTGGATCTTCGTTAAGGACGTTCCCAACAGCCAGCTGCGGCACATCCGCCTGGAGAACAACGAGAACAAGCCAGTGACCAACTCACGGGACACGCAGGAGGTGCCTCTGGACAAGGCACGGCAGGTGCTGAAGATCATCGCCGGCTACAAGCACACCACCTCCATCTTTGACGACTTCTCCCACTACGAGAAGCGCCAGGAGGAGGAGGACTGTGTGAAAAAGGTAAAGGCCTGCCCTCCACCCGTCTGGGGAAAATAAATAGGCCTACACCTTGGGTTGTGTGCCTGGGGAGAGGCATGCGAAGCCATGGGTCTGTGCGCAAAGGTCCTGAGAGCATGTCAAGAGCAAAAATCCAGTTGAAGAGTGCAATAGTTGAAATAGATTATCAGTCATTTATATGTGTGTTCATCTTACAATGTGCCGTTCCTACAGAGAATTTGGATATGCCAGAAACAAAGTGCATGAACATCCCAGTTATAATATTTTAAAAGTTCCATGTTAGATTTATTATCTCACATGGATTTGTGAATTACGAATGCTGACCTTAGTGTTGATCAGGTGTGTCCATATGAAATGTAATGTTTATTTCCAATTCGGTATCTAATTGATGATCCTTGTGGAAATGTATCCCCCTTATGTATTAGGAATTGATGCATTTGTTACTGTTGGGACTTTTTCAGACACTTGGCCTACCAATCAATGCTCTAATTATATAGGCTACTGTATGTCACCATATCAGTCCCTCCAGGATTCTGCAGTGTTGTTTTGTGATGGTTGCGGACCAAAATGCTTGATTTTGCTGCGAATGTTCTGACACTGTGTTCTGCATGGCAATTTGTGATGATTTTGTCGAATTTGTCACCTGCGCTGACTGGGGAGAAAAGTTTGTTGATGTGTTGCTTTATTGAGGCATTTTATGCGGTAAAAGCATGGGGAATAGTTAACATTGTGAGCCCTGTTTTTGTAGTGTGGTGATTGGACATTTATATGCGGTAATAGTGCGGCGATTAGTCAAATTTGCAAGCCCTCGCATAATATGCGGTAGTTGATTAGCAAAAAATTATGCAATCGCACAATCCTGGAGGGACTGCCATATACATTTTTAAAAGGTGAAGTGGGAAGGTTTTTGCTAGTCTAGTTAACAAAATGCCAGCAGTCACTTGTGATTACCAAGATGCATTTTGTCGTTGAACCTTTTATAATGACTCCCCAAATAATTAGAATATACATTATTATGCTCAGTCTCGACGTCATGTTATCCGAAACATAACCCTCATTCTTTACGGAGGATTCTGTTCACATTATGAAATGCATGTTTACATTGGTCCTTCAGTCTCAATGGCCATTAACCTACGCTTCATGACCTAAAGTATGTGGACACATGCTCATCGAATCTCATTCAAAAATCATGGGCATTATTATAATAATAATAATATGCCATTTAGCAGACGCTTTTATCCAAAGCGACTTACAGTCATGTGTGCATACATTTTTATGTATGGGTGGTCCGGGGGATCGAACCCACTACCCTGGTGTTACAAGCGCCATGCTCTACCAATTGAGCTACAGAGGACCACATTAATATGGAGTTCAAATCAAATCAAATTTTATTGGTCACATGCGCCGAATACAACAGGTGCAGACATTGGTCCCCTTTGCTGCTATAACAGCCTCTACTCTTCTGGGAAGGCTTTCCACTAGATGTTGGAACATTGCTGCAGGGACTAGCTTCCATTCAGGCACGAGCATTAGTGAGGTTGGGCACTGATGTTGGGCTATTAGGCCTGGCTCGCAGTCGACATTCCAATTCATCCCAAAGGTGTGGGGTTGAGGTCAGGGCTTTGTGCAGGCCAGTCAAGTTCTTCCACACCAATCTCGACAAACCATTTCAGTATGGACCACTCTTTGTGCACGGGGGCGTTGTCATGATGAAACAGGAAAGGGCCTTCCCCAAACTGTTGCCACAAAGTTGGACGCACAGAATCGTCTAGAATGTCATTGTATGCTGTAGCGTTAAGATTTCCCTTCACTGGAACTAAGAGGCCTAGCCCAAACCATGAAAAACAGCCTCAGACCATTATTCCTCCTCCACCAAACTTTACAGTTGGCACTATGCATTCGATGGTGAACGCGTTTCCACTGCTCCAGAGTCCAATGGTGGTGCTCTTTACACCACTCCAGCCGATGCTTGGCATTGCGCATGGTGATCTTAGGCCTGTGTGCGGCTGCTCGGCCATGGAAACCCATTTCATTTAACTCCCGACGAACAGTTATTGTGCCGATGTTGCTTCCAGAGGCAGTTTGGAACTCTGTAGTGAGTGTTGCAACTGAGGACAGATGATTTTTACGCGCTTCAGCACTCGGCGGTCCCGTTCTGTGATCTTGTGTGGCCTACGACTGGCTGCTGAGCCATTGTTGCTCCTAGACGTTTCCACTTCACAATAACAGCACTTACAGTTGACCGGGGCAGCTCTATTTGAGGTGCTTATAGGCTAGCTCGGGTTCTGACTGGAGCTGTGTACATCATAATACTGATTATTGTTAGAAAGGGGTGGACTCACTGTAGGTCTGTATCGCTATGTATTACCGACTGTTTTTATACAGACTACAGAGTGCTGGTTTGTCAGCTCTGAAGAGGAAGCAGCTTTCCTTACATCGAAACAGGCCTAGCTATTGGGTTATATTGGACAGTCCTGTTTCGCTTAATACTCCATTGAGACATGCTGTTCCGACAATGTTGCAAATTTAATTTCTGTCTCGTATGTTTCCTTCAGTCTTATTTTGCGGAAACTCAAACCATGCTTCCTTACATAGTGGTATCCGATGACATTCAATTTATTTTTTTTAAAGTAACTGTCCAGTGAAAATCTCACAGTTCCTATTCTGTTAACTCCTATCCAAATAATGTGGTTGACTCATCCTATGCTTGTATTTGTGGCCTAAGTGTAAATTGGAGAAAACACTACAAAAACCCCTCAATCAGTAAAAAAAAAAAATACTTGCTCTTTCCTCATTGAGGATAATGTAATCATCCTTAGGAGGATGAGCTGGCCAATCAGCAGTCTACTCTCAATACCCCAGACCATACTGTTGGGGTGTGCCCACACCATTCCAACACAGAAAAGCTGCTTAACAGTTTTCCTTTTAAAAAAAATTGCAATTATTTCACTCGTATTGTAATGAATTATAGGTCATATTTCATAGCAATCTGGAAACACTGGACAGTTACTTTAGAGACGTAGCATCCTTTTCCATCAGTATCTCAACATTGCATGACTGAGGCTGTGTGCAAAACACTGTCTGCATTATTTACTGCGACAAGGAAACTGCACTGCACCTGGAGGCATTTCACATTATACAACTGGTGGTTCCAATCCTGAATGCTGATTTGGTTAAAACCGCGTTCCAGCCGGTGTCTATTCCACAAGTTACCACCGGCTTAATCTATGACGTTAAAATGCCTATTTACTCTGTTCCATCTATTTCACAGCGAACTCCCCATACATATCCTGAAAAGACTTCATATTTACTAGTTGTCAAAGAAACTTATGTCACTGAGTTAACTGCAGCTTCCTCTTATCTAGACAATCGAGAAATGTGTTTATCTTAGTTTTGTGGTCAACACATTGATACTGACAGCTTTCAAATTACCAATGATCTTTGCTGTATAACTTACCAATGAAACAAAATGTTAATGTTTTAGATACTGATCGGGGTTGACTGATTTTTATGATTCAAATGTAATGTTTCATCTATATCCAATTCGAGACCTGAGTCCACTTACTGTAAATCAATTAAGCTGTTGATGCATGTATGCCCAAAATTGATGGAGGTTTCCCGTCCTTCCTGTTTTGTTCCTAACTAAAGCCTGATGATGTTTTGTTACCAGGTGGAGGTCCAGGGTAGCGAGCCGTACCCCAGTAACCCCAACCCCAGCAGGAGTCATTACAGACTTCAGGTAACGCCCTAGCCCCCACTTAACTCTCTTGCTCTTGTAATAGCCTAACCGTAGTGTGGATTTACTCTCCATTAGGTGTACTCCGTAGAGGCTCCGCAATCGCTTCGAGACTTCATACACTGCACAGAGATTTTGGTCCATGCCATAATTTGTGACTTTACTTAAGTGTCGGTGAGGTTTTGTTACGGACAACACTTGGTGGAGTGTAAACCCAGTCTTAACAGGCCTGCTACATTAGATGTGTCGCTCTTAATATCAATAAATTATTTACAAGAATTCTACACTTGGCTTGATAAAGTGGCTCACTCTGGCAAAAAAATTATGCGTCCAGTGTAGCATCTAAAAACCGACAGTTTTTCTGCTCCCCTGTTAGACCCACGCAGACCATATGATTTTAACCGTATTATGGCACGATTTTCCAGCCCCAGACAAAATGTCCACATCGTGGGCAAATTATTACGTCGTAAACTATTGTCGGACGTCTTTGCTCGTTCCGTGTGACAGGGTCTAGGTCTGACGATTCAAATACCACTACGTGCAGTCGTATGCTCCGACCAAAGTTCTTTCGCTGTCTTTTCACAAAGTGTGGCTGGTGTTACGAGCCTATCCCGGTACCTGACCAACAGGAACACGTCCGGCACTGAGTAAGCACACTATGGATATTGTAAGTAGTCAGATTAATACAACGGCTTGATTTAAACGTTTACATGCTTTGCAAGGAGAATGATTTCCCTAATACTCTTGTTTTACAAGACATCTGAAATCAGGCTACCTGATGGCACAAAAATCGCCAATCAAAAGAAACATTCTACCACAAATGGCCCGCTATTGCATATTTTTGGGAAGCTTATTTGAGTTCGGACAAAGTTAACTTTTTAAGATGCTTGCGGTTTTTCCGAACTCATTTTACTCGCGCATAGAGGGAGGCTGGCGCGTGCGTAGTAGATCAGATGCACCGCTGCAGTTGACGTAGCCTCGCAAGTCAATTGCTGAATGTGACGAGACAACTGAAGCAAATCGTACAATCTGGCCAGGTTGATATCAAGATTTTAATTTCGTAACAATGCACAGTGTGACGTAATAATTGTAAAAGACAGAATCTGACGTACAGTGTAGGAAGGCCTTTTTAGTTATTTTGTTTTTTTTTAATTGGAGGACATTTCATCAAGTTAAAGTCCCTTTGTCTCAAAGGGACCAAAATGTAGATGTGCTCAATGTGCTACTCTTGACTGGATGGTGACAAATGTCCCATGTCTCACCAGATGAGTATTGCAAATGTCTGAAAGTGGTCAGAACTGCATGTTATAGGCCAGGCACACCAAACGTTTTTAGTAAAAAATAAAACGTATAATTTTTTAGACTATTTTAGTTTTGCTAAAAAAACATTTAAAATCACTAGGAATTCAGCAAAAAATAAAATGGGGAAATCTGTTCCCAAGTATTCCGGAATTCAGCAAAAAATAAAATGGGGAAATCTGTTCCCAAGTATTCCCACAAAATAAATGTGATCGCGTTTCAATGTAATCGATATGAAATCATTGATTTACTCTTTTTGGCCTTAGTTGTGGTCAATTTGCAGTGTACTATAATTATGTTCCGGGCCCCCGACCATATGCTCCGACAAAAATCGGCCCACGGCTGAATCTAGTTGCCTTCCGGTGTTGTAGACTATACACATCCTGTGGTGTATTCATGTAGAACTACTCTGTGGGACTGTTAGGACCTGGCGGTAGGGAGATATGCTTGTCTTGGTACCAGTAGATATGGGTTCTCAGGGTGGTGGAAACTTTTTGTTTCTGTTTTTTTTAAATGTTATGTGAAGAACCACAACCTCCACTCTCTTACATCCATTGATGGGAGCATGGTAACTATGCCCACTGGATACATACAAATATGATCTGCAACATTTTGTTTTACTGAAAAGCTCAATCTCTGAGTCCCCAAACTGAAGTGTAATTTTCTTTGTGTCCCACAGGAGCGCCAAGGACGTGTCAAGTAGCAGTCACTGCTTTGGGCAAAAGACTGCAATGACCCCTCTTTTTCCCCTTTCCTACCCCATCACATTCAGATCTTTCAAGAAATTCTAAATGGGGTAAAAATTTAACCAAGGACAAAAAAACAAAATGAAGACTTTCTTGATTTCTTTTTACTTTAAAAGACTGACTTCGAACTTGTAGTAAAATAAAAAGAAATTATTATTCATAGGACTACAACTTTAATGCATAGCATCCTTAGGTGAATCTATTTTTTCCTCTACACCCCCCCCCCCCCCCCCCCCCCCCCCCCCCCCACCAATCCACTACATATGCTTTTTTCTTCCTCATATGCTCCCCCCCCCCCCGCCTGTTTTTACAGTCCCCGAGAGCAAGTCTGTAGTTCCTCTCATGCAAAATTCTAGTGGACATTTAGTGGCTGGAAGTCCAGGCGGGCCATTTGTCTAATTTCTTTGTAAACCCCTCCTCCCTCCTTCTGTGGGAGATTAAATCATCCAATCAGGACAGGGGGGGGGGGGGGGGGTCTCCTCCTCAGTGGATATTCGTCATCGCACCCTTCAAGAAGTTTCTTTTTCATATGCTTCCATCTGTTATATATATAAAAAAGAAAGAACTAAACCGAATGTTCGAGATGACCCTGTTTATTTTTTGTGGTGTGTGGGGAGAGTGGGTTAAGTTTGTGGGAGGGGGGGAGTTGAAAGCAAAAATAATTGTTACGTTTAGCCTTGGTCATTGTATAATTTTATGTACAATTGTACGAAATGGGGCCCTGTTTGCGGTCTTCAGAACTTATTTGCCCTCTTTCTTGGACTGGTTTATTATTGATGTTTCCATGAGCTGCTTTCCTCCCGCCATCTTTGTTTCTTCCTCATCTTCCTTCCGTTTTCTTAAAGACCGCGTCGACGCGAGTGTCCTTGCCCCCACTCTTTCTATTAATCAGTTCAAAGTAATAAATGTCGTATACTCAGCAAGAACTCGTGTGCATTCCCCTTGTTTGACTGTAAGCACTTTTCATGCTTTGTGCATCCTTTTTCTGTTATGTTTTTTTAAAAGGGTAAATGAATGTTTTATTACTTGGTAATTAAACCCTATTCCCCCACACACACTTAATTATACCCCAAACACCCCTCTTTGCACCACTAACCACCACTATCCCTTTCCACCGTGCCCCTCTATTGGCTGCTCAACCATAACACCACCCTTGCAGAATGTCAATGTTGGTGAAGAAACTACTGGCTTTTCTCTGTGGCATAATAAAGTCAAGCTTGCTATTTTCTCTTCTTGAAACTAAACTACAGGGGTTTTGTTAAGGGCAGCGTTGTTAATCTGTTATTAGGCCAGTATAATCTTGAGTGGTATCAGTAGCTGATTCCAATGTGCTGCTGTTTTCATGCTTGTGGTCTTTTCATTGTGCTGAACTCCGCATCTACTAGATCTTGGGTCACTGTTAAGAATGTTACTGTTCAATCTTGGAGTGAATTTCAGCCTACAGTTGGATATTTCAGTCAAGGGAGATTTGGATTTTGTAATTAGAGATGCTGAACATGTAGGCCTATTTTTATGGAGGCATCTTGCTGTTAAATATGTTGGTGAAACAACCTGTATAGTATTAGCACAGATGTGAGAAACACACTTTCCATATCTTGAATTCACTTCGGTGCAGTGTCACTCAACATTAATGTTTAGGATAATCGGTATGCTTTGTCTTGTCGCTCACGTTATGGCCCAGAAATTAGACCTCTTGTAACTTATGGTATAATTACAGTATAAGAGCGTCTGCTAAATGATGTAAATGTACAGTACTTCAAAAACTGTGAAAATGCATCCATCGCACTGATCCATAAGCAGTATTGCCACTCCCCACAACGGGTCCGATTTGTCCCCCCCAATCATTTATTTAAAATCAAGGTCATTAGGAAGGTATTCTTAATGTTTTGTACACTCTGTACAGTATATTTAGCCTATTGTCACTGCATTGCTTCTCAATGTGACGCCCATCATGTAGCTTAGGTGTAATCAACAGGATACTGATGATGAATCTGAAAATCAAGAATTCTCTTTGTCCGAGGATAGATACTGCGCAGACCACCCATTCATCCATCATCTCACAAGTCGGACTGTGCTTGAAGCCTATTTGGCTGCGTTTTACGCAGGCAGCCCATTTCTGATTGGCAAAAGAGCATAATTGGACTACCACAGCCTTTGTGTGCATTCATTATGTTGAAATGTCTTATTTTCAGACGAGCACATTCACTGCAATTGCATTCCCCAATTCGGAAGCAGAGCAATGCGCTATTGGGGAATTTAAGCCCTGAACGACGCCTGACATGGCACTATCTCCCAGGCTGCGTGCCGCCCCAAGACCGGAGCCATTCTTAGCAAGCTAACTTTGCTAGCTACTCTTGTGAACTAGATGGTTATATATGCTGGTTGGTAGCTTGTATGACTGATGTGTATAATTTTAAGTGACACTTCATTTTTTTTAATGGATAATATTTTAATTTACAGAGTGGGTGAGCTCCATGCCTGACAGGCTGATCAGATTCCCTTTCAGTCTCAGCACTGGATCAGATTCATTAGCAGCCTCAGAGGCTGATGAGTCAGGATGCTGCCTTGTAGGATGTTTCATGAGCAAAGTTCCTAGCAGTCAAAGTGCCTTATAGGCTGATGCATATGATCCCACTGGATCAGATATGCATCTGCCCTATAAGGCACTTTGAATGCTAATCTGCCTGCGAGGAGCTTTGCTAGTGAAACAGCCTATATAGTAGCATCCTAACTTATCAGCCTCTGAGGCTGCTATTGAATCTGATCAGCCTGTCAGGAATGGAGCTCATCCACTTTTGACATTTAAATATTGTCCACAAAAAAAGTGCCCCATTTTTAGAACTATACACATGTCACTTATGCAAGCTAACAACCAGCATAGATGACTATCTAGTTAGCTAGCTCACAAGACTAGCTGTACTTCTTGCTAAGTAGCCCTGCTTCGATTGGCTTTGGTCT